CACCATGTGACCGCCAGATGGGAAGCGCGCGTCGGTCCCAGACACCGGCAGGTTAGTGAATCCGCTCCTGGCTCCCATGGGGTCCCATCACGGTTGCAAGCTGTCACAAGTGAGGCGGGGACCAGGCTGATATCAGGCAGCACACACCCTGCCTGCCTTGCAGGCTGTGTGGCTTTCTCATGAAAAGAAGCCGTGGTTTAATGCTTGTCGTCACCGCAGCCCTTTTTGGGCTTCTTGCCCGTACATTGATTTTTGGAGGAGGCTCAAACAGTCATTTAAGTTGAAACAACTTTCAAAAACAAATGATTGACACAGATGGAAATAGCCAGCAAAACAAAGCAAGCTTGCTTGCTTCAAGATAATTTGATAAGTTGAGGAACATCAAGGGCCAATTAGTTTTGTAAACTCTTACTTCTTTTTGGTGAAATATTTTTTGAATGTTTTGTTGAATACTTCAAATGTTAATCATTGTTGCCTTCAAATTTTGAGTTGACTTAACTTTTTCCTTTTTTTTTCTTTTGAACATCGTGGAGTTGTAAAAACACGATAATGAGATTGAATTGATTACGTTAGAAATATAAAACGCGTGTGCCATGCGATTGGCTGGCAATCGGTTCAGGGTGTCCCCCGCCTACTCCCCGAAGACAGCTGGGATAGGCTCCAGCATACCCCGCGACCCTTGTGAGGATAAAGCGGTTCAGAAAATGGATGGATGGATGGAATATAAAACATCAGCGTTTCAAATATTTGCCTGAATAACAAATGCACGGAAACAACAAATCAAGCTAAAGTCACAGCCAACAAATGCTTTTATATTAATAAAGACTTAAATGTTTCGTAATTCTTCAGATTTGCTACACTGCGCAAAAAAAAAAGGAAAAAAGTAAGACAGTAGACAGTGTTATAGCCACTCCTTTATTCCCAACAATATCTTTGGCACTCGTTTCACTTTAGCTGGGATTGTGTCTCTTCTGGCTAGAATAACAGTTCTCTTATCAAAGTATGAACAACCATTGTTCTTATTTATGAGATTGGAAGCAAATTAAAAACTTGAGCACCAGGTGGATTTCCTCCATCCACTGGACTGTCAGTTTTGATCGTACATCAGGACTTTGTTTTGTCTTTCGCAGTTAGTGGAAACGTGGCCGTAAGCTCTTCTAATAAGGCCTGCTGGGCCTCTCGAAGCTTGCTTCTTTTTGTGGAGAAGCAAGTGAGATGCGCTGCTGTTTTTCCTTCCCTTGTTCCTCTTAAAACACTGCCCAGATAGGCTTTGTAATATGCTTTGTCGTCTTTGAATAAACTTTGGCATTTCTACGGTTTAGGAACATCAAGAAACGCGTGTCTTTTTGAGGGTGCGTGTGTGTAAAAGATGACTTCTCTCAACAAACAAACAAATAAGAGTGAGTGTGTGTATGTGGGGGTGGGGGGAGTGTTCAGTGCGGATGTGGTGATGTAAACCTGAACCAGTCAGGGATGCAAATAGTGCACCTTAACGCCATCAGGTAGTGGAGTTGACAGAAAATAATGAGAACCCACTGAATCTTTTATAAGGTTAACAGTCACATTTCCCAGTCAGCTGTCACACAAGAAAGAATTTAGCGCATGCACGCGGACCAAATAAAGCTTCATTGGCTCATTAATGCTGACGGGGGCCCTGGACCGGCAGTGCCGCCACCACCTTCGTTTTGTGTCGGTAATTTGCGGCAGAGACGGAGCCCCTTCTCCTGGAGAGGGAGACGAAAGGAGGTAGAGGGGGGCGAGAGGAAGAGGAAAAGGATGGGTGGGGGGGGGTGGCCCAGGGAGGAGGGGGTCGGGCTTGTGGAAGGATGGTGAGCGCACCTGGAGTGTGATTCCCCTCTAATTGGAAGCATTGGGCATTGTCAACAGAGGATTTTCAGCTGCTCGCTGACAGGTAAAGCCGTCAGAATGATAGCCCACTTGTCAGCGCAAAAGACCAATAAAAACAAACCACTTTTGATTTAATTGGAGGCCTAACCATGGTGTGTGTGTGTGTGTGTGTGTGTGTGTGTGTGTGTGTGTGTGTGTGTGTGTGTGTGTGTGTGTGTGTGCGTGC